TGGGAGACCAAGAAGGAGAAAAAGGAAGGATGCAACTTCAGACAAGTCGCTAATGTTTTATCCTTCACGGCTTATTCTCATCTAGAAAGCCATGACACGCCCCCAAAAAACACATTAGCAACTTGTGGGTTAAACACAACCCTTGGGTTACTGGCATGCTGGCCTGCTGTCAAAAAACTCTGCCAGATGGTTTTCCGACATATCTTTCATTTTTAGAGCATGTTTTTTAAAATGCTTCTATTGAAATCCCAGCTTAACAAGATACAAGCAAAACAGTAGTACCGGTCAGATCCAGCCCAGTATTTGGTGTCTGTCAGCTGCCTACAGAAGATGCAACAACAGGGCAAGCATACAGTGATGCTCTCCTAGCTTAGCTTCTTTCATGCTTGGAATCTGCAGCGGTGCAGCAGTTTCCCAGGTCAAAGGTGTGAGGTTGGCTTTGCTTCCAGTCCCTGTAAGTGTGCTTCTAGTCCATGGATTCATCTGCCTCTTGAAAGCATGTTAGCTGCTGGAATCCCATGCAAGAGAGTGCAACAGCACCTATGCACTACCTAAAAATATACGCCTTTGCATCTGCTACCAGCTAATTTCAGTTAATATCTCTTAGCTTCAGAATCCAGAATACATCTAAAAGAAGAAAGATGAGGATCACTTTCAAACCGCAGCTCTATCTATGAATTCTTGCATATTTCCATGTGTGAACCACCACTCATAATCTGACTCCAAAGTCAACTAATTTATACTAATGGCTCAGACTACCATCAAAACAACTCCCAAGGCGTAAAGCATATTGATTTTGTTTCCCTGGGGAACGGGAACCAAGCAGATCCACAGGGAAAATGACTCAGTGGCCAGGTGGGCAGTACCTGTTATAAGGAAGTTGCCGTGCTCTTCCAAGGGCTCGCTGTATTTCCTAACAACGTGGTTCAAACCCAAGTCCAGTTCATAAAATGTCAAGGTCTGTTGTGTGTTGGCTGCGGCTTCTCCTGTGGGATCATTGTCTGCTTCCTATAACAGAACACACTAAAGTGTCTTTCAAGAAAAGTATTAAAAGAGGAGAACAGATGACGCACAGGGAAACAGTTTTGAATAACATCAGAATTAGAATCCAAAAGAATTGCTGTAAGATGCACATAGCAAGGTTCAGAGGAAGAAAATACGCACTTTTGCAGCTGAACAGCAAGAATTTAAAACCATCAAGACAGAAGCAGCTAACGTTCCCTGCCTCCAAACACAGATTAAGAACGACAAAGCTCAAAAGACAGCAAAAGGAGATCAAGTGCTTCTCACCTCATAATCCATTTCCAGACAAGCAAACATCGGGTTTTCAAATCCCACATCGACTCCCACCACATGGTAGACCAAGGTATTGGCCTTGTGGGCCTCCAGTGGGGAGGAAATGGTGAGACGAGCGGCAGCGTCTCTGTTCAAGATATACACCAGCTTCTGCTTTTCAATCGCACCTGCAAGGAAAGGACAACAGCACCTGAGGCACATCCCCTGGTGATCAAACCTGCAAGTTGGTTTGATGGTTGGTCACACCTGCAGTCCAACACCAAAGTAAGACTTTGCAAGAGGATGCCAGTGTTAATTCTGCTGAAGTTCACCACTGGTATTCATCTCTGTGCCACAAATTAACTTCAAATGTCTCATTTTTAATCGTTTGGGCCGCAAGCACAAATGATAACCCCAGCTCTTCAAAGCCAAAGACTGAGCCTTCAGGCTATGTCCATCCAGCCCAATATGCCAGCTACAATAGCTACAGGCAGATCTACTCACTCATTTCACCACACAAGAGATGACAGACTGCAGGGAAGCAAAAATAAATTGAAAAAAAACCAGCCAGATGTTCCACCACTTCAAGCAATTTTGCAAAGAGACCCTTCCTCAAAAATATATTAACTAAAAAACGTATTCTTGCCTGACACGCAGCACCCACAACATTGTAACAAACACTTATCACCCTTAACTATCAACGTGAACGGCACAATTGTGACTGTGCCACCTTCTCACCCATCAAGACTTGTTAGAAAGGCAATGGTATTATTTATCATTATTCCCAATATAAAGGGGCACCGTTAAACTATCGTTGCAAGTCCCTGCTCTCAGTGCGCAGGAATGCAGCATTACACAAACCTGGCTATGGCAAACTGAGCAAGTTTATGTACCAAGTAACTAAAGACACTTCATGGTAAATCTTATAGAAAAATCACCCAGGCGTCCTCCTGCCTGCGAAGCCTGATCAGAAATGCATCTAGGTGTCTCCACCATACATCTCAGAGAAGAGACATGAATTCATAACATCATTTCAGGCTGTGGGAGCTGACTGACTATGCTGCAGCACGGATGCCTGCAATCCCAACTTCTTTCCCAGACATCACACTTCAGGGCTCTGTCTGCGCACTCTGACTGCTGGCCGCTTTCCAGATCGTTCTGGCCCAGTGTTTGAATGAATTTGTGCAATTCCATCAGCATCGAGGAACAATTCTGAATGCGTGGGTTATTCTTGACACACCTCATAGCCTAACAAACTGCCTGAGAGGAAGCACTTCCAATTATACCTGTCAGAAACTTGCTCCAAAATAAATATTCACAAGACAGGAGAGAAAAAAAATAAAAAAAAATAAAAAAAAAAATAAAAAGAAAAGAAGCCGACAGACTGACTTACTGATCATGACAGCGCGGCCCTTTGGATCTACAGCCAAATACTGGCCCGGAACAATTCTGCGACATCCACTCTTGCCAAAGGTTTCCTGATGAATCTTCTCAAACACGTTCTTCGAGGGCTGGTACTCCAGAATAACAATGCGGCCCGAATCGCTGCCCACCACGATATAGTCTTTGGTCCCGCCTGTGAGCCTAAAGGCCATGAGGGAGCGAATAACCCCGAACACTTCCACGGTCAGCAGGGTGTGAACCTTCCCTGTGTTGGGATCGGGGCGGAGCAACTCCAGGATCTTGCCCCGGGAAACAACAATTTCTTGTTGCTTGGTTCCTAAAAAACCCAAAATACAAAGAAGAGTTAGCAACAACACAGCAGGACATGCCATTTCAAGAAGCACTATAAGAAAGGAGATATAACTCCACAACTACTAAATACCAGAGTTTCATGATTACTGTGGAAGAATTCAAAGCAACATATGCATCACAGTAGGTGTCACAGTTGTTTGAGCATCTTTTAACAGACCAAGAAAGTGGACAAATACTTAATTAAATCTATAGATAATCAACTCAAACATCTCTTTCTACAAGTTACAATAGCTCAACTAACACGCTCCAGAGCAAATGATAATACAGCAGTGAAAAAAATGCTATATTGAGGCAGACAAGCTTCAGCAACTAAATAAAAAACAAACACCTTTTTCTTCTACCACCCAAAAGAGCTCAGTCCAAGATGCGTGAAGGGAGGAGAAAGTTACCTGAGAAATTGCCATGGATAGCATAGCTGATGCCGGTGGCACGCTGCAACGTCAGGTTGTAGAGAAACATGTTGGCAACAGGTTCGCTTCACCTTATGGGAGCTCCACTGAGTCTGCAACAAGTAAAACAGGAACATATCCTTGGTAAAGGCAAAGCCTCCTGTGCAGCACAGAGGGAGAACCGCTGCCCTCTTACATCGCTTTATATTAGAAAACTGACTGCCACTCAGCTAAAGTTTTCCGGCATTTATTAGTGCTTCGAGGCAAAAGGCTCTCCTACAGATATCCAGCTGAACGCCTTAATACCGCGTGACTGATCAGGACTTGCAGCTAATTACTTCTTTTATGGCTCGAGTCCTTCAGAAACCAAACAGCGTCAGGGAACCCCACAGCAGGAAATCCCGCCAGAGGTGCCCGACGCCGTCACCCCTCACCGATCTCGCCGCTTCGCTGAACACGAGCCAAGCTCCCCACGGACGCCCGGGGCCACAGC